TTGTTAATGCAAAACATGAACTTATCCTCACAAGATCTCGTACAGACCTTAATGCTATAGTTGATATTACGGCAACTGAAGAGCATGAGCAATTTAAGATTATAATTAATAAAGTGGAATGGTTGATACCATATATATTCCTTGGAGATCGTCAAAAAATTGAATTATTAAAATTTATTGAAAAAGACCCTCTTATATCTATGAGCTTCAGATCGTGGGATATGTATGAATATCCATTGTTACCTACCACTCAAAAACATGTTTGGACTGTAAAAACTTCTACGCAGGTTGAGAAACCTCGATATGTAATCCTTGGATTACAAATAAATCGAAAAGATCATCCTGGAAGGTATGCAAATATTTTTGATAGCTGTAATCTCATAAATGTAAAACTTTTCTTAAATTCACAATACTATCGTTATAGTAATTTAAATTTGAATTGAATCAAAATCAATTTTCAATTCTCTATGAGATGTATTGTAATTTTCAATCATCATACTATGGTAAAGATCCTGAGCCTATTCTGTCCAGGAATGAATTTAAAGATTATGCACCATTAGCTGTCATAGATTGCTCCAAGCAAAATGAATTTCTTGAACAAGCTTCTGTGGATGTGAAACTAGAATTTGAATCTAGTGAAAATTTTCCAGACAATACAGCAGCTTATTGTTTAATTATTCATGATCGAATTAGTCAATACACACCAATCAGTAATGTTGTGAAGAAAGTATCGTAAAGAGTGGGGGTAAAAGTGAGTAGTGGGGGTAATGGTAAAAAAGTGGAGATAAGAGTATAAATACAGCAACTCTTAGAGGCTAAAGTCATTTATCTGTTATAGATACCATGGCGTACGTCGTAGATTTCCAGTGCTTCAAAAGACCTTATAACGAGTTTATCATAAAAGAGCTAGCAATCATCCCACTTCAAGAAGATGCTCATCCATTGGTGTTCCTCTTCGAGCCGCCATATGCCTGGAGCCGCCTACCGAGAAGATACAAGAGTCAAAATCGATGGACTGCATTTAATTATCATGGTATTGATTGGAATGCTGGTGACATACCTTATGAAGATTTACAACCAATTCTGAAAGAAATATTAATAGGTACACCTACAGTTTATGTAAAAGGTTTAGAGAAACAAAAATGGTTAGAAAGCTATACACAAAATGTATTAAATTTAGATGATTTGAATTGTCCGTCGTTGAAAAAATTAGCCTTAGATCAATATACTCCATGTACAAATCACACACACAATAATTTCCATTGTTCTGTAAAAAATGTATATAATATTCGCAAATGGTTACTACAACCATCTAATGTACCGACAAATATTCCTTTAGGTCACGATGAAGTTGATAATAATTCAACATTACAAGATTTTTATAATAATTGTGACCACTTTTTATTAAGTCCATAAATGTATATTGTCATTGTAAATAAATGCTTTTTTAAAATAATTAAAATTGTTTATATTTATTTATAAAAAAATTGTATAAAATTTTTCATTTACACACGTCTGGACATGTTTAAACTTGTCTAGACATGTATTTGTGACGTCATAGAATCAAAATTGAACGCGCATGCGTACTATGAAAGTGGGTGTGGCTATTCAAATGATTTTGCGCAATTGGATAGAATAGGGTGGGGGGCTTTAAGCTATTGCGCATGCGCGAGTAAAATTTTAGGTATAAATTTAGCGTGCATGAGCAGTTTTGCTCATTCTTTTTCTCAGATATCGTCTAGTCTTTAAAGATGGATCTAAGTAAAATAAATGCTGTTGGTCGTATGGAAGGTTTCCTGCCTACGAAACCGCTTTCAGAGTTGACTCCTGGACATAAGTATCCTATTACCAAAATCCAGTTTGTCAACACAAAATATGGAGAAAAGATAGTCGTTGAAGTGGATGGAAAATTTAATACTTTCTTACCTTCACGATTTGTACCTATGTTCGCTGACAACTCCATTTGCTTCAGTCAAATGCAAGAAGCTATTGATGCTGGACAATTACGCCTCAAGTATATTGGTGGTCCATATAATCATATTGAATTTAAATTAAAACAAGTTTAATTTTGTATAAATTTATGTAAAAAAATAATTCTATAATAAAGAAAATAATCTAATATTTATATTATTATTTTAGGTTAAGTTTAGTTTAAGAATTAATTATTATGTTAAATTTAAGGATAGGAAAAAAATAACTTTTAATTAAAATATAAATATATTAAAAAGACATATATACATATATACATATATAAAATAAAATTGTTTTTTTTTTCAAAAAAAATATTTAAAAAAAACACTATATATATGAGAGATTCTTTTTCAATCGCCCCAGCCCAAAAAGTCAATGTTCTGGGATTGGCTTCATACTTTGCTAAATTGTTGTCCTATATGATAGTAATAAATCCCTAAAATATAAACTAATTAAAAAAATATTTGTAGAAAGTAGAGGGGGTTGAAGTTTTGACGTTAAGGGTAACATTGTCATTTTCAAATCCGTTTAACTATGACAAAAGTTAATGGATTTTAATTTATCTATAATGAATTTTATTGCATTTTTCACGTACTTTTCAAAAATGTATACGAAATTTAAAAAAAAAAAATTTTAACCCCTTTTTTTCAAAATCAACCCTTATTTTTCGAATTTCACCCCTTCGGGTATTTTTTTTTTTTTTTTTATTTTCATTGGAAAGCTGAGGTTTTTTCCCATGAGCTATGTAAATATGAAAATGGGACAACAATAATTTTGTGAGAAACAGAATATTAAATTAGGCGGTGCCTATCTAAATCCTCAAAGATGATCTCCAGGTACACCCCTTATCGGCACCGCCTACTTTAATATTCTGTTACTCACAAAATTATTGTTGTCCCATTTTCATATTTACATAGCTGATCGGAAAAAACCTCAGCTTTCCAATGAAAATAAAAAAAAAAAAAAAAAATACCCGAAGGGGTGAAAATCGAAAAATAAGGGTTGATTTTGAAAAAAAAGGGGTTAAAATTTTTTTTTTTTAAATTTCGTATACATTTTTGAAAAGTACGTGAAAAATGCAATAAAATTCATTATAGATAAATTAAAATCCATTAACTTTTGTCATAGTTAAACGGATTTGAAAATGACAATGTTACCCTTAACGTCAAAACTTCAACCCCCTCTACTTTCTACAAATATTTTTTTAATTAGTTTATATTTTAGGGATTTATTACTATCATATAGGACAACAATTTAGCAAAGTATGAAGCCAATCCCAGAACATTGACTTTTTGGGCTGGGGCGATTGAAAAAGAATCTCTCATATATACATATAAGAAACATTTAACCTTTGCGTTACCGGGAGCCACCCGGGGTGACCCAGCGATAAAAAAAATATTTAAAATAAACTCTAATATATATCAACTTTATAAAAAAAAAAATTTATTAATATTACTAGTAAAAAAAAACGTTTGGGTCACCCCGGGTGGCTCTCGGTAACGCAAAGGTTAAAAAAAGCATGCAAAAAAAAAAATTTTAAAAAATGTATACAAATAAAAAATAAAAAAAAATCATTTTTTTAACGAAAAAAAAATATTTAAAAAAACGTTAGTATTTGTATACAAAAGAAAAAAAACTATTAAAAAAAGAAAAAAATAAAAAAAAATTATCGTTTGCGCGTCGCCGCCGTTTTATACGGCGCGAATCTTCGCCCTCTGCCTCTCCTCCCTCTCATGGGTAGGGGCTCAATAACAATACTTGAGCGTGAGGGAGGGGGTGGATTCTGGCGCATGTGTTGGGCGACCTCCTCAGCCGCCCAGGGACCTCCTCAACAGCCGCTCTGGGCTGATTCTGCCGCACAGATGGTTCGAGTGGAAACATGAACCATCTGTGCAGTGGAGGGAGCATGGTGGGCATCGTAGGCCTCGTTGGCCTACGATCCCATGGATTATGACCAGTAAGCTCATGCTAAACAAAAAAAAAATTTTAATTATTATCATGATTATTATTATTATTATTATTACCAGAGGACGGACCCTTATAACTTGAGCAGCTTGTTGAGGCTGTTCAACCTAAAAAAAAAAAATTAATTTTAAAATTATGACGTCATATTCGTAATCAGCGACCCCGAAAACCCCACGGTAACAAGTTTCAGGCATTCCGCCCGAAATTTAAAAAAAAATATTCGCCATATTGGATCCGCCATTTTGAATTTTAAAATTCTGACGTCATATTCGTAATCAGCGACCCCGAAAACCCCACGGTAACAAGTTTCAAGCATTCCGCCTGAAATTTAAAAAAAAATATTCGCCATATTGGATCCGCCATTTTGAATTTTAAAATTCTGACGTCAGATTCGTAATCAGCGACCCCGAAAACCCCACGGTAACAAGTTTCAGGCATTCCGCCCGAAATTTAAAAAAAAATATTCGCCATATTGGATCCGCCATTTTGAATTTTAAAATTCTGACGTCATATTCGTCATCAGCGACCCCGAAAACCCCACGGAAACAAGTTTCAGGCATTCTGCCTGAAATTTAAAAAAAATATGCGCCATTTTGAAATTTAAAATGACGTCACTTAAACTTCCCCCCCCCCTCTCCCGTAACAAGTTTCAAGCATTAAGCCCGAAATTTTTAAAAAGATTATTCACCATAACCTTTTATTCATAACTTTGCTTTTGTATATATATACACACTAAACTCTATATATCTGAAATGCTGTCTACCATTGAAAGTCGCGAGCCGAGAGAGAGGTCTGATTTCTGTATTCCCCTCTTTGTCGGTACAGGTCCATTAGAAAATATTTAACAGTATGTATACGTGAACATGATATAACACAGTTAACAGTAAACTTTTGGAACGTATTGTACTACGCCTGCGTGGTTTAGCAAGAGAAGGAGAGGTATACAAGAATCAGACCTCTCTCTCTACTCGCGACTTTCAATGGCAGACAGCATTTTTAGAAATATAGAGTTTAGTGTGTATATATATACAAAAGTAAATAAATAAAAAAAAATGTAAATATAATTAAATTTTAATAATGAAAAGTACTTACTATTTGGGGCGCCTCCTCCGCTTCCTGGGCCTGTTGGCCCACATCCTTATTTTCAGCTTCCTAAAAAAAATATTATATTATTTAATTAAATTCAAAACAAAAAAAAAGGTTAAAATATTTGTTTTGAAATAAACACTTACCACCTGATTTCTGGAGCCCTCCGGGTCCCGGTTTTCTTTATTTTCACCATCCTAAAAAGAAAAATGATTCATTTAAACATTTAATTAATATAATAATAATAATAATAAACGATATTATAAAGAATAATTATACATACCATCTTTCTCCTCTGACAGTGTCCATTTATTTTGACAGCGTCTTTATGATGGCAAACACACATATTTTTTTCACTACGGCTGATTCACATGTATTCTCATTGCGCATGTTCATAGGAAGGCGCGAAGAGAATTAAAATTTAAAATTCCATATTTAATTATTTTGTAAAGAACTTAATAATTAAGTGAACTAATTAGTGGAATAAATTAATAATAATTTGTTGACTAATAATAACAATAAAAATTATATTGTTTATAAAGAATTTCTAAACAATTTCACTTATAAAAAATGAAATTAATTATTTTCTAAATAAAAATAATATTTATTTTGAAAATATGATGAACCTAAATAAATAATTTGTTTATATCAACTTACCTTTAATAAATTAATTAACTCGGTCGGTAAAACAGTTTGAATTAAAAAAATATTTTTTAGAAAAATAATATTTATTTTCAAAATATGATAAACCTAATTAAATAATTTGTTTATATCAAATTACCTTTAATAAAATAATTAACTCGGTCGGTAAAACAGTTTGAATTAAACAATATTTTTTTAGAAAAATAATATTTATTTTCAAAATATGATGAACCTAATTAAATAATTTGTTTTTATCAACTTACCTTTAATAAATTAATTAACTGGGTCGGTAAAACAGTTTTAATTAAAAAATAATTTCTAAAAAAAGTTGATAATAAAAGTGAGCGCCATCTATTGGATGGTTGGTAAACTAATTCAGTAAAAAAGTTTAAAACCACAGACTGAAGTGAGCGCCATCTATTGGGTGCTCGGTAAACTAATTCAGTAAAAAATGTTAAAAACCACCGACTGAAGTGAGCGCCATCTATTGGGTGGCGGGTAAACTAATTCAGTAAAAAAGTTTCAAACCACCGACTGAAGTGAGCGCCATCTATTGGGTGGTCGGTAAACTAACTTCAATGTTCAATAAAACAGGTTAATTAAAGTCGGCAACACACTCTGAAGTGAGCGCCATCTATTGGGTGGTTGGTAAACTAACTTCAATGTTTAATAAAACAGGTTAATTAAAGTCGGCAACACACTCTGAAGTGAGCGCCATCTATTAGGTGGTCGGTAAACTAACTTCAATGTTCGGTCGGTAAAACAGTTTCCTACCTTATCGGTCGAGTTGAAATTTTTGTCAGATTCCTACCTTACCGACTGCTGATAAAGTAGAAATCTGCATTACCGACCGAGCAGTTACCGACTGCAGGTACTTAGCCGAGATCAGAACCTGGCGTAGAAGCCCCCTAGCTATACTACTGTTAAACAGCATTAGCATTTTATTTAGAACATAATTTTAATAAATTTTTTAAAATAAAATAAAATAAAAAAAAGTTATACAGCTTCGCACAGTGGGGCAGAATGCATAAAAAGTTGTCAAAAAATGAAAAATTGAAAAATTCAATTCCAACTTTTAATTACATTATTTCAATAAACAATAAGTCAAAGTTTGATGAAATATAATTTTTAGCCCTTTTTTATTGCGGATTTTCATAGAAATATGTTTTAATGTCGACCTATTTTCAACAGTTATGTTCGCGCTTTTTTGTTTATTTATCAAGGTAAGGTTTGTAACCTGATTAAAACGTACAATGTGACAGATTTTTAATTATTTATCATGGAATCTTCAAATTCAGGTATTTAATTATATTATAGAAAAGATAAAATCGTATTTTATAACATTTTAATTATTAAAATTCTTAAAAGAAACGAGCTTCTGAAATTCAAAAATTGAAAAAATTTTCTGTAAACATTAATCATTTTAGTTATGTTCCAAGCTAGTCCAAGCATTAATTCTTGAATTTTTTATTATGTTTTGATTCCAGGTTTCTGAAACTGCTTGAAATTTTTGGGAATATTTGCGATTTTTCGAGAAAAAGTGATTTTATTGGACACATTGCAAAATACAGAAATACGTATTTTCAATAATGAGTGTACTTTGTTTTAAGAAAATTTGTTAACCTTTAAAAATTAAACTTAATAAGATTTTGATTTTAAAATGTTCTATATTATTAACCTTTGTTTGACACACTGGGGTACAAAATACCCCACGTTTTTCCATTCTTACCAATTTTTCTCGAAATACCTCACGTTTTCCAATTTTTTAAAAATACTTACTTTAAATATTCTACTATATAACTTATATAGTTTTCAGAAGATACCTCTCAAGAATATGTAAAAAAAAATTGAAGTAGATATATTTAATATTTTATTTTTCATGATGATTTTTGTCGATGGGGTACAAAAAACCCCAATGTGTCAAGTATGATACTCAGAAAAAGTGTGTCAAGTAAAGGTTAATTTTATATTTAAAAGTTTATAATTGAAATTTATAAAACGGGATAAATAAATATTCTTACAATTTTTGAATTTCTTCGTCGGATAAGTATTTTTAATTTAAGTAAATATTTGTAATTAGTGTAGAAATTAAAAATAAATTATTGTAATTTTTATATTAGGAACGACTTCAAGCACGCTTCATGCGTAAAGAGAAAAGAACTCGTTGAAATAATGAACCGTTCAAATAGCAGTAAATTCGATGAGAGATTTAATTTTTTAATATCTGCCATTTTGTATCTGCTATTTCGTAGTTTTAAAAAATTGACTTCATATTCGTAATCAGCAACCCCAAAAACACACGAATATCTAGTTTCAAACGATTTCGTTGAAATTTAAAAAACATATCCGCCATGTTGGATCCGCCATTTTGAATTTTTAAAATCTGACTTTAGATTCGTAATCAGCGACCTCGAAAACCATTAGATACTACATTTTATAGAAATCGAACAATTTTTAAAAAAATTGTCCGCCATATTGGATCCGCCATTTTGAATTTTTAAAATCTGACGTTAGATTCGCAATCAGCGACCCCGAAAACCCCTAGATACCAAATTTTATAGAAATCAAACTAATTTTTTAAAAAATTGTCCGCCATATTGGATCCGCCATTTTGAATTTTTAAAAACTGACTTCATATTCATAATCAGCGACCCAAAAAACTTTAAAATCTTTAATGTCAATAATTTTCAATGAAAAATACATTTAATGCCAACTTTTTTAACATTCTGCCCCACTGTGCTTCGGCATAAGATACTAATGTATGAGGTGTAGACATTTATCCTTATAATATTCTTCAACATGTAATGAGTCTTTGCAAACCTTTGTATTACAAGACATCTGAAACAGAAGTGTTAGTACCTCCCTGTAAAAAAGAAAGAATTGGACGATAGTGGTTTTCGAACTGGACCGGCGTTTCTTGAATTCGAAAAAAGCAATTTGACGAAAGGAACGATTTGTTTGTTTGTTCAATTTGTACAACTTTTAAAGTGTGAAAATAAAGAAAATTAAGTTGTACTGGGCACTTAAAAGCAATGAAATGTGACAATGCTTACAAATAAAGGTGAAATGTTAACTTTTTGATGCTATTTTAACTTGCAAAATACCTAGGTGAATTTTCAAAAAAAGTGAAAATATATTTGGATATACTTCCGAAGTAGGGGTACCTCCGATTTTAATAAAACTTGGTATACTAACGTATTTTGGTGCGCTGATTACGAAAATGATAGTGAAAATTGGCGCAAATTTGATTATCATGGTAAAAACCATAAAAAACACCATAAAATAATGGTTTTTTACGATTATCTCGTAAAAAACAAAAAATTTCGAAAAAAGTTTTAGACAAAAGTTGTAGATCTCAAAAAAACACACATTTTATGTTTTATGCATTTTTTACCAAAAGTCATTATTTTTCGAGAAAAATCCAAAAAACGAAAAACACCATGATAATGAAAACATATACAGCAGTCATGGTTAGACATATTATTTGACTCGTATATAGTATGGGGTACCTTCGATCTTAATGAAACTTGATATACTAACGTATTTTGGTACGCTGATTACGAAAATGATAGTGAAAATTGGCGCAAATTTGATTATCATGGTAAAAACCATAAAAAAACACCATAAAATCATGGTTTTTTACGATTATCTCGTAAAAAACAAAAAATTTCAAAAAAAGTTTTAGACAAAAGTTGTAGATCTCAAAAAAACACACATTTCATGTTTTATGCATTTTTTACCAAAAGTCATTATTTTTCGAGAAAAATGGTCCGAAAGTAATTTGCGGAAATTGTGGGGTGGAGTCTACAGCAGCGGTAAATGCAAAATATTAAACACGGCCTTCGGCCGCGTAAGGTACTGCTCGCTTCTCTTTTTAAGAAATCTTGGCGAGAGGGGGTGGATGTGTCCGAAAGTAATTTGCGGAAATTGTGGGGTGGAGTCCACAGCAGCGGTAAACGCAAAATAGTAAACACGGCCTTCGGCCGCGTAAGGTACTGCTCGCTTTTCTTTTTAAAAAAAACCTTGGCGAGAGGGGGTGGATATGGCCGAAAGTATTTTGCGGAATTCGTTAGATTCTGACTAATGGTGAATATGATACTGTATACGAGTCAAATAATATGTCTAACCATGACTGTTGTATATGTTTTCATTATCATGGTGTTTTTCGTTTTTTGGATTTTTCTCGAAAAATAATGACTTTTGGTAAAAAATGCATAAAACATAAAATGTGTGTTTTTTTGAGATCTACAACTTTTGTCTAAAACTTTTTTCGAAATTTTTTGTTTTTTACGAGATAATCGTAAAAAACCATGATTTTATGGTGTTTTTTATGGTTTTTACCATGATAATCAAATTTGCGCCAATTTTCACTATCATTTTCGTAATCAGCGCACCAAAATACGTTAGTATACCAAGTTTTATTAAAATCGGAGGTACCCCTACTTCGGAAGTACACCCATATATTTTTATTAAAAACGCGTTTTTCATTGTTCTGAATCATTGTAAACATTAATTTTTTGGTGATAAAAAAATATTTGACTTTTGGATTTAGAAAATATTGCTAATCGATCATGAGGGCGATCCATGCGGGTCCCTATGTTGGCCCTCATGTATCTTGCCATATGTGAGTGTGTTTTTTTAAAAAAAGTGTAAATATATTTTTATTAA